TAGATAATATTTACTTATAATAACAAAGAATAACATGAATGTTATGGCAAGAAGATTTGATTGTAAGTGATGAAAAGGAACAACATGAATGTTATGGCATGTTCATAGTCCAAAACCATGTTATGTAATGTTTTGGATAGGTCGAGTAAGGTTCAAGTGATGAAGATTTGATTGTAAGTGATGAAAAGGAACAAAGGTTTTGAAGCTCTAAGGCACAAGATTGTCTCAACTCATTATTAGGAAAAGTAAGTTTGACTTAGAGACCATGCATATGCATTCATACGTGGTTAGACGTTTTATTTGCGCATTAGGTAACTTGATCTTAAAGTGCTTATAATTGCATGCCATTTTAGTATCATGTTCATCAAGATATTAGGTTTCTTATGTAAACATTTCTGGTCCAAATTCACACTTTTGAAAGGTCGCGCTAGAGTGGCGGACACAGAATTTCACTTTCGTTTTTTGTTTTGGAGAGTTTTAAATTGTTTTTTTCTTCCTAATTTTTTTGGAACACATATGGTTGGCATTAGTTTCCTAGAAGCACTGGCCATGTTTTTATTTGTTTATTTTTTTAACTCTATAAATACTTGGTTAGATAAGAATGGACTTTGGAGGAGTAAAATTATGTCATTATCCTTGTAAACACAACTGAAAATCTTATAATCTATGAGAAAACTTGTAAACTTTCTACTTTTATACTTGTTTTTCTTGACTTTTAATCCTAACAATGTACTATAAAATCCATGGCCATGTTAGGAAAAGAATATAAATTTATAGTACTTCGTGGATGTCTACAGAAGTACAACCATGTAACATAGAGTTCAACAATTAATATAGTTTATTTTATAAATTGATTTCAACCAATTACATAGACAAAACTTGAGGTGAAATTTTTTTATAGATAAAGACTTTCAAGCTCTCAAATAAATGTTGATGCGCATTCACCAATTCTATGAATCAAAAAATTAAAACTATCAACTTCAATTGATTTTTAAAAACTAGGCATAAAATACGGAGGAATTAACCATAACTTGCTATCACTACTACAAAAAAGGCAAAAGACAACGGGAATTCACCGTCGTGTATTCGGTTTTCAAACCGTCGTGAAATCGACCGACATCTATTTAGCTGTCAAACTACGACGGCTTTTCACCGTCGTTGTTTATCTGTAACGACGATGGTTTTTAAAGAAAATCATCGTTGTTTAGAGGTAAAGATCGTTAATTATAGGAGAAAAGACGACTGTTTTTAATAAAACCATCATGTATTGTATGTAAAGAGGACGATTTTTTATGAAAACTGTCATGGATTGTTTATAAAGACGACGGTTGTTTTATAAAAACTGTCATCTTTACATTCAATAGACGACCTTTTAAAAAAGGTCCTCTTTACTTAACAATAGACAACCCTTTTTAAAAAAAACCGTCATCTTTACATATAATAAACGACCCTTTTTAAAACAAAACTGTCATCTTTACTTCATAATAGACGATGGTTTTTATAAAAAGCGTCATCTCTACATATAATAGACGACGGTTTTTATAAAAAAAAACGTCATTTTTACATATAATAGACGACCTTTTTATAAAAATTATCATCTTTACCTATAATAGACAATCCTTTTTTATAAAAACGGTCGTTAATTATCTGTAAAGACCATGATTTATTATAAAAACCGTCATCTAATAAGTTTCCAAACTGCTACATTTTAGTTATTTTTGATTTCCTATGATGCTATACAACGATTTTAACTAGAAAACCAACCATAATGCTTTATTAATGAATATATACACTCAAAAATAATTTCTTTCATAAAACTTGAAGATTCAATAGTTATTACATAGTTAACCAATCTTTATTCTACAACAAACATAATTCCTAACAAGACCTACGTACTCCTAATCCAAGCATTCCTCATCCAAACATACAAATGATGCA